TGTAGCTTCAAAAGAAATTGAGGGTCTTGATAAGCTAAGGGATGTGAAAATCTTACTTTCTGGGTTACTTGGCGGATTTTTGGGCGCGGCAAAGGCTCTGAGTCGGAGGAAATAATATTTACCCTCTTCATCCACCCCGTGACTCATGCCCGTCTCATCCTGATCATAATCAATATCAATAAGGTGATTAAATATGAGCCAAGAGAGTCAAGGGCTACCTCCGACTCAGAAGAGTCATCCAGCTGAAGTTGCTTAGAAGCACTGGCTTTCTTTCCGCGTCTCCTCACGGCGGCTCTCCTAGCGGCTCTCTTGGCCTTCCTGGCTCTTTTTGCAGCCTCATGATCATATTTTACTTTCCAGATTTTTTCATCAGCCTGTGAAAGTCAGCAAAAGATTGAGTACAGACAAAACATCAATATTAGAAATTATTTGTTCAGCTTGGCGACTTACCGCTGGAGCCGGGTTGGCCTGGCGGAAAGGGCTTAAGCCCACCTTGCCGCAGTTTACTAGGCTTTCATTGAGGACAGACTTGGTCATGTCATTGATGACGTGATTAGGCAAATTATTAGGACTATGTCGCAGAGGATCATCTTTCTTGCTTGAATAATTGCACATTAGACCGGGGCGGCGGCTTAATGGAATGATCCGCTAGGCGAGCCAGACCCGGACCAAGTCAATGCCATTTAACCCGTTCCCCAGAAGAGCTTTGATTTTGGCCAAGGTAGGGGCGAGCGTTTTGCGTTCGGCAGCCGATATCTTGTGAGCAAGTGGATGATTGGAATCAAGACGCAAGGCGCGAAAAGGGGCAGAGGATTCTCATTAGCCGGAGAGGTGTCTTGGTAATAAAACCACGTTTGATTGCAGTCTTTAGGATGGCTTGGCGGATTGGCATAGGGAAAAATGACGTCTCTCCGACGCTGGATTGAGACACCACCAAGTTCCAAGCTTTGTCCGCTGGCACATTCATTTTGGCGGTTCAAGTAGAATAACTCTCTGAAGAGTAGCAGGTTGGGTTCTTCTCCAAGATATACCTCGCTGAACACTTGAAAATTACAAATGTTAGACACGGAATTGGATCCGATGTCTTGAGGATGGAGATCAAAAAGTGCAGGACGTCCCTAAAGAATTTTGAGCCGGGTGGTGCAAAACCCTGATTTATATGATCCATGAAGACAATCACTTCCCTTTCCTTGGGTTGAGGTCTCTCTTCTGTCGGGTCAGGGGCACGGTACGACATGACATCCCTTTTCGACAGATAGCCGACTTTCACAAAGTCTTCAAAAGTCTGCTCAGTGACAATGGACGGGACCCAGTTGCATGAGGTGTTTGTCTTAGGCGGCGTTGTGATGGAATCCTAAGAAAGGATAAAAATTCCGGTTCAAATTTAAGCCGGAGAAAATATTACAGTGCATATTCAAGATGGCGGCTTACAAAGGGGCCTAATGGTATAAGGCTAATTATGTCAGATTATTTAAGCCGCCATGAGCGTCATAAGCAGTCAAGATTATTTAAAGCCACCATGGGCGGTCAAGATTATCAACTGAGCATTGCCTTTTTAAGCCGGTGATGAGAGTCACCATGGCTAGGGTTGCAGGCGGAAGAAGACGCAGGAAGGAGAAGAATGAGGAAAGACCTGGTCGGGTCTATTTATAAGGAAACAAGTGATAAGCAGGCGCGAAAAATGAGGAGACTGAAAAAAAATCCAACTACTGAGACGCCTCGATTCTTGGGATGATCATTAAAGATAAGGATCCGTTGAGGTATATTGGACAAAGCATAAATTGATGATAGATGATGTCATGGCGGGTTACCGCAGATCCAAATGATGACATCATGGCGGGTTACAAAAATTTCATAAGCAAAGAGCAGAAGATTTTTCTTAAGTGTTGAAGATTGACATGAACCAGTTCAAATCAATCTGGGGCCTAATGTTGGGGATATAACTATTAGGCATGACCCGCCCAGGAGGGGCCGGGTCACACCTATGACGAAGCCCACTGAAGACACTTGAAGATGGCGGTTCACTTAAAGGCCTAGGGCCCAGAGGCGACTTAAGGCCTGTAGAGATAAACCGCCATGTATGTATAACTTGTATTGTAAGACAGGAATAGAGAGAGACCGAGCCGGACACTGTTTATGAACCGGGCGGGACTCTATGAGCCGTTGGGCGTCAACCTCTGTATATAAAGGGGCGACCCGGCGGCGGTTCAAGGCAAGTAACATCAAGTCGAGAACTAGGTCAAGCGGATTCGCTTCCTGGTTATCGAGACATAAGCAATCCCACTAAAAACTGGATCGTAGGCTTTTACCTTCACCGTAAGGGGCCGAACCAGTATAAACCTCGTGTCCTTTGTCCCGTTTAACCCCTTTAAGCTTCCTAGTTGCAATGGCTCCACGACTAAGTCCTTACGCTAGGACATCTGACGTGACAATTCCACGACACAACCCCTATGCATAGATTCCCAAGGTCACGGAACCCGCAAGTTGATCACCAAAACATACATCAAGTGAATCAATAGAATACCCCATTGTCACCGCGGGTATCCCACGGAAGACATACATCAAGTGTTTTCAAATCCTTAAAGACTTAATCTGATAAGATAACTTCAAAGGGAAGACCCAATCCATTACAAGAAGGTAGAGGGGGAGAAACATCATAAGATCCAACTATAACAGCAAAGCTTGCGGTACATCAAGATCATGCCGAATCAAGAAGACGCGAGGGAGAGAGAGAGAGAGAGAGAGAGAGAGAGAGAGAGAGAGAGAGATCAAACACATAGCTACTGGTACATACCCTCAGCCCCGAGGGTGAACTACTCCCTCCTCGTCATGGAGAGCGCCGAGATGATGAAGATGGCCACCGGTGATGGATCCCCCCTCCGGCAGGGTGCCGGAATAGGGTCCTGATTGGTTTTTGGTGGCTACAGAGGCTTGCGGCGGCAGAACTCCCGATCTTGGTTCTGTTCTGGAAGTTTGGGGATATATAAGAGGTGTTGGCGTTGGGAACAAGTCAGGGGGATCCACAAGGCAGCCACGAGGTAGGGGTGCCCAAGGGGGTAGGGCGCGCCCTCCACCCTCGTGGTGGCCTCGGGACTCTTCTGGTCCATCTCTGATGCTTCGTGGGCTTCTTCTGGTCCAAAAACAATCTCCATAAATTTTCAGGTCAATTGGACTCTGTTTCATAGTCCTTTTCTGCGATACTCAAAAACAAGGAAAAAACAGAAACTGGCACTGGGCTCTAGGTTAATAGGTAAGTCCAAAAAAATCATATAAAATAGCATATAAATGCATATAAAACATCCAAGATAATATAATAGCATAGAACAATAAAAAAATTATAGATACGTTGGAGACGTTTCAACGGGCTCGAGCCGCCGGCCTGTTCCTTATGGGCCGGACTGATAGGCTGCTACTGAGCTGAGCTAGGGCATGGACCCGTGACCGGATAGAAGACCTTCGGAGCCTTGGTGTGCCCCCCAAGTCAAGATTTAGCATGATCTTCCCTTTATTATAACCGACCATGTGTAACCCTAACCCTATTGGTGTCTATATAAACCGGAGGGCTTTCGTCTTTAGGGGGAGAGCAACATCCATTAACTATCAACCTAGGGTTTAGCTCGCCTGATCTCGAGGTAGATCGACTCTGTAATAATACCATACACATCAATACAATCAAGCAGGATGTAGGGTTTTACCTCCTGGAGAGGGCCCGAACCTGGGTAAACACCGTGTTCTTCGTCCCTTGTTCCCTATTGATCCTAGATCCACAGCTCGGGACCCCCTACCCGAGATCCGTTGGTTCTGACACCGACAATATGTATGCAACTTGTGTACAATTTTTGTACCTTAGTAGCTTCATATTGCGTGTTGTGTATTGAGCACATGTGATGACAATGCCAATGTTGCAACAATGTGAGGATTAAATATACAACTACATAATTGTGAATAAACACTTATTGCTTTTAAATCCGTTTGCATGAATATTTTCGCAAAGAAGTAGGTGAGGTACAGTGAACAGCTGAAGTTATGTGGATGGTGTAATAAAAAATAGAAAAACATGTTACAAATTCAAGTGAGTTCATCATTATCTCTTTTGCAGGGTCATCATTTACATTTGATGGGAACAGTGATAGGTTTGATGACAATGGTGATGGGCTTGTGATATACTCCCTCCGTCCGAAAAAGCTTGTCCCAAGTTTGTATTTCAAATGGATGTATTTAGCACTAACTTTACTAAGCTTTTTCAAACGGAGGGAGTATTTTGAAGATGTTGACTCCATATGTTGGTACATTTTTCCTTTACTAGTCGATTAACTCGGCCTTTATATTTAACACCTTTTGAAGTTAAACACTTGGTGAGTTGGTGTGTAGTAATGAGGATGCAGAAATTGGAGGGTTTGCCATTTTCTTTTTATAAGAAAAGAAAAGGCATGATGATGGTAGTATCTATTACCACAAATATCACTGACGAGGGTGCTATCCAGAAAATATCTCTGAACTACTCCCTCCATTCAAAAATACTTGTCAAAAAATGATGTATCTAAATATATTTTAGTTTTATATACATTCATTTTTATTCATTTCTGCGATAAGTTATTCCGGACAAAGAAGCATGGCAAGCGTTATTAACAGAAGATGTCTGCGCGCATAGAATCCTGCTTGGTTTCTGACGTGGATCCGTGCTGTTCCCGTGCGGCAACCAACAACCCGGCTTCATCACAGGCCCCATTATCCCGTCTCCAATCGTCTCATCTCATCACAGGCCCCACCCCAACAGTACCACCACCCACAGCTTCACCGCTGCCCATTCTCCACGTCCGCCCGACACTCCCGGCGACCCATATTTATAGCCACCCCGGGGTGGAAGGGGTCGGATCAGAGCACCGTTGAGCTAACAGCTGAGCAGCACAGAGAGAAAGGATCGCTGATCGCACCTCCAGCTCGTGCCGATCAAGCAGCCAAGAGATCAAAAGCCCAAAACACACAGACATACACTCGCAATGGTTGTGGAAGAGGCGATGGATAGCGACATGAGCTTGTCGAACATGGTGCTGAGCTTCCTGGAGGAGGGAGAGACGGAGAGATGGCCGGAGAACGACGAGGACGAGGACGATGAGGAGGGATCCAGCGCCGGCGGTTCTGCCGAGAGCAAGGCCTTCTGGCGGGCCCAGCACTCCCAGCTTCATGTAAGTTTTTCTCCTCCGTCCAATTCGTTTGAGCGCGCGAGTGTTCCTGTTTGTCGACCAGCCAAGAGTTTGATCGCACGCGGGTCCTGATAGGAGAGACGCCACGTTTGCTTGCAGGAGGCCTTGGGCAAGACCAGCACGGCCGAGAGCAGGATCCGGGCGGTCACGGAGGAGGCCGTGGAGAAGATGCGCGCCCCCGCGGCCGCGGGGGCCGTCTGCTCCTGCGCGAGGCGCGCGGCCGCCGGCGACTGCCGGAGCTGCATGTTGCGGCGCGTCGTGGAGCGGCTCCGCGACGCCGGGTACAACGGCGCCATCTGCAAGTCCAAGTGGGCGCGGTCCCTGGATATCCCCTCAGGTAATTGGTTGCTTTCGAGACACAGTGGTTGCTAATCTTCAGACGACGTAATTAATTCAGTGAAAGAGCTGGCAGTTCCAGCAGAAAAGTGCATGCACGGTTGGCAATGGCATGAACCGTGTGGTCTAGTCTAGGACGTCTGACCCGTCGTGCCGATTCGAGGGATCTGTTTTTGATCCTTCTGATGAAGTATATGTTGTTTAGAGTTGATGAATGCCGGAAGCATATTCGCCTACTACTACTAACCATAGTAGAACTTCTCACCAAAAGTGGGTAAGAAAAAGTAGTAGCAACTTGTCATATTCGCCCTACTAACCATAACCATAGTACTAGTAGAACTTTTAATTAAAAGTGTGTGGGAAAAGGAAAGTAACTTGTCAATTCTCTAATGTCACATGCATGCCTCACATGGACCTGGTCATCCTACGCCTAAAGAAACGGACGCTTCCAAGTAAATGTCGAGCAGGCACCGGTCACCGTCTCCATTATTTCCTGACCGCCCGTGACATGAACTTGCATTGCAGCTAGCCCGACCAGACCAGTCCACCAGATGTTATTGCACCACGTTTAATGGCTGGCTCAAAACACTTCCAAAACCGCACGACAAAATGACACATGCCAAACCGACACGCAAAAGTTTGGTGTACATCGAAGCTGACGTTTTCCTTCCTGGTCGATCTGTGACGTGCAGGCGAGCACAGCTACGTGGACGTGCTGCTGCAGACGCGGAGCGGCAAGGCGGCGCGGGTGGTGGTGGAGCCGAGCTTCCGGGCCGAGTTCGAGGTGGCGCGCGCCGGCGCCGGCTACCGCGCGCTGGTGGCCGCGCTCCCGGAGGCGTTCGTCGGCCGCGCCGACAGGCTGCGCGCCGTCGTCAAGGCCATGTGCGCCGCCGCCAAGCAGTGCATGAAGGAGAACAACATGCACCTGGGCCCCTGGAGGAAGCACAAGTACATGCAGTCCAAGTGGCTCGGCACCTCCGAGCGGGAGGCGCCGCCGGCGCTCGACGCGGTGGCCGCCGGCTCGCTGTCGTCGCCGGAGAAGCAGCCCAAGTATAGGGCGTCCATGCTGAGCTTCGACTTCGGCCGGGCCCCGGTGGTGGTTGCGTGATGCGTGCATGGCGGACAACAGGAGGAGTATGATGCCATGGTGTCACGTGTATGTACCCATGTTATAGACCGTATGCCATGCCGGGCACTGTAGTAGGCTAGAGTAGTAGAGTGTGTAACGGGGATTGTAGGTTGTACGTAGTCAGGATTTGCAATTTCATGAATCTGCTCTTGAAGAAGAGAAATCCGTTGATGGAGATAAAAGTAAAAAGTTATTCAGTTTTTACAAATCACAGGCTAATTTTCATCCCTTAACTTTAGAACCAAACAAACCAGGCAACTAGGGAGGAGCGCATCCCCTCAACCTCTGCCTACCACTCCGGCAGGCTAGGAGGCAGCCTAGCTAGGAGATAGGTTAGGGTTAGGTCTTCGCGGAGGCGGCACTCGGCGGATGACGGAGCATCACTGTCAAAATGGTCTTCCCGCCTCCAAAATCCACCTCGAATTCGTCCATCGGGACGAAGATGACCGAGCTCCTTTATAGATCCATGTCATTACCTCAGGGTGGTCGAGGTTAGGGTTACTTGTCATGTGTATGCGCAAGCGAGACCTGGTGTTAGGTACTGCAGATTGATTCAAGGGTTCAACGGTGGCAACAACGGCTTCTGGGTGCCTATTCTCAAGGGCACGTGCTCAAAGACTTTTCAGTTGTCATCAACAAGATTAGACCTGCTCCGGTATGGCAACAACGAAAACGACGTGTCATTAGCTCATCCTGGTGGTGACGGTAGTGGTCCAGGGACGTCAGTGTGATTTTTATTATGTTGAGGGTGTATTTATACTTCTGATGAATCTTTATAAAAGATTCAAGTCCTTTTCACAAAAGGAGCACGTCGTTCATCACAAACTTAACTACAAATAGAAAGATAGAAAGCTATTTTTAGATAGAAAGACATCAAGTTAACTACAAGAGAATCATGATTAAAGAAAAGACTAGAATCATAACAAGCGGATATCACACCCATTTTAGTGAGGAGAAAAGACTATTTTTGCGTATCAATTCTTCTGAAGTGAAGATTCCGTCCTTAAACTCTCGAAGCAGACATCTTACACTCTTAACTCATCAAACCAGACAAGTTTAGTCCTTCGTCTTAGCATACCCGGTATAATTGCTGACTCTACGTGGTTTTTGACTGGTCTATGCTGACGTGGCAAAGGAGACCGTTAAGATGCTGCGTACGCTCTCACGACGGCTCCCTGGACCGGTGTCGGTTGTAGGCAAGAGAGGACATGCATAGGGATGCGACATCGGCTGGGTGGACTGGCGGCGGTCGAAGATGTTACTTCAACTTGAGATCGATTTTAGCTCTGATATTCCAATTTGACATCAATTAGGTTGTAGGAAACATTGTACCATATGTTTATTTGTCTATGTTATTTGTCGATTCGTTACCTGTAGGCTTTAAATGTATCGTCTTGGTATTTTGCCTATCTGTTTTTATGATGGAGGTTTTTTTTAGGAATGGATTGGCTGCACTACTTGGATTTCCATGTATATGACATGTCACTTCTTGGGCCGCAATGTCACACGTCATGCTAGAGAAAATGTCATATCCATGGATTATTTATCATTTGGAAGATATTGGAAAGATGTTGACGAAGATACTGTGCAGCTTCAGTAGGTTTTTCCCTGGAAAAGAACTACATAATGGACTGGGGTAGAGGATGGCAAACAACATAGTAGAGGAAGGGGTAGCTGACATTGTTGTTGATCATTTGCTAGATAAGCGAAACGAAGGAGAGTGGCTTTGAGGATGATATGGATGTGGACTACTGTTTTGAAGTTGATGTGTACAAGCTGAGTAGTTTGCATCAGAGTGTTGATTGGTCAAAACGGCAAGTCTGCAGTGATACCAGGTCGACGCTGAGACGAGGGACTAAACTTGTCTGGTTTGAAGAAATAATGTTGCAAAATGTCTGGTTCAGAAGTTAAGAGAGAAAATATGCACTCTGTGAAGAATTGATGGACAAAAAATAGACTTTTTTCTCTTTACTACAAGGAAACATTCAATTCACTTTGGCATCCACTCTACTAAATACAACGACAACAAATACAAGCAACGCATTATAAGTTTAACAAATCTCAGATTATCCTGACGAGTGATGAGCATGTAGGACTAGGGAGTCCAGAAAGAAGGGCCAGGTGTACTTTCTCCGAAGTTCGTTTTTTCTTGGGACTCTCAGTGTTAAAAATGGCGAGTCAATGACAACAAACATTCAAGCACAAAAACAGAGTATATTTTCAGGGACTTTGCATAGGCACAAGCAACACAAAAGGAAAAAAATAAATCAAGTTGAACCCAGAGAAGTACTTACTATGCTATGAAACAACAAATACAAGCAAATGGGACTTTTTTTGTATATATATATACCAAAAGAAACTTTTGATATTTACATTCTAAGGACTACCTGGACTAGAACAGATTGGAAGAGAGAAGATTAGTTACAGAAGTTTTGGTGGTGGAGGTCCAGAGAGATCATGATGATGATGGGGATGCTTGAGCTTGTGGAGCCAGTGGGCTAGCCATTTCTTGGGATCATGACTCTCCTGGCAGTTTGAGCTTGGCATATTGTCAAGTGTTCCATCTCTTTCAAGAACCATCTTGAACTTGTCCAGTAATTGAACTATTTGCCAGAATTCAGGCCTTTTATCTGCTTGCAAGGCCCAACACTGCTCGATCAGAACCCGTAATGCAGCTGGGCAGGTAGCAGGAATGGCCGGCCTCACATTCTGAAAATGGAAAATGTTAAGTCATTTTCTTCTTCTCAGAAAGCACAGAATCAGAAATTCAGAATGTATATGGACTGTTCGAGAACAAAGAGTGTATATAATCCATGGAACTAATTTTAAAAAATGTCCATATGTACAAATGTCATGCTCTCTCCATCTGGAAAAAATGTATAATCTCAGCCTAACAAAGGTATTACTCCCTCCTGCCCAAAATATAAGGCGCGGTTTGACTTTTCTGGTCTTTGTTACGGAACTTTGACTATAATTTTCATGTATTCTATGTCTATAAAATTAGTATACATACATATGAAATAAAATTGTTCTGCAAGACAAATACGATGATGCCATTTATACATGTTCAATCCATATACATTGATATATATTAGTGGTCAAAGTCGTGCATCAAAGACCGTAAAAAGTCAATCGCGCCTTATATTTTGGGAAGGAGGGAGTACTAGACAGGGACAGAAATGGGACCAGATGAGTGCATACCTTGTCAAAAACAGCAAAGGCTGCTTGGAACGGAGTCAAATCTTCATAAGGCACGGAGCCGGTAAGCATTTCCCACAAGATAAGGCCGAAGCTGTAAACATCAACCTTTCGACCATAGGGTTTGTGCTTCATCATCTCTGGAGCCATCCATCTGAAGGTCCCGGGATCGTTCGCCAGAGGGTCACAGTATGCTTCTTCGCAGGCTATTCCAAAATCAACAATCTTGGCGCAGCAATCCCCGTCGAATATGATGTTCTCCGGTTTCACGTCACGGTGGACGATTCCTTGCGAGTGGACGTACCCCATGCCGTGTGCGATATCCAAGCCAACTGAAATGATCTTGTCCAAAGGCAGAGATTTGTGCTCTTGCTTGTGCAAGAATGATCTCAACGAACCACCAGAAAGGAACTCGGTGATGACGCAGAAGACTGGCGGACTGGTGCATCCTCCAACCAGCTGCAAAATATATATTTGTAGATCAATAATTGACTTTGTTTGCAATGCAAAGATGGCATCACGTAAGCAAGATTTCAGGACTGCTTCATGTTAGGCATGACGTAGGAGCACCTGGACAATAACGCTAGGTACTGATGGAAACTTAGTACCAGAAACTTGCCATTTCAGGGAAGAAAAGGTCAGCTAGAACAAGGCTAAACGTAAGGATTGCTCTTTCTATGTAATCTAGAAATAAATTTCATCAGCTTTTTCAAGCTTGTTTGATAAATAGATCGATCTAAGCAGAAATTGCCTGAAACTGAATATTTCTGAAGAGGAAACTCAGGAAGTTACCTTAATGACGTTGCGATGCTGGAGGCGGGACAATGTGACAACCTCCGTGTTGAACTGCTTCTCGAGCTGAGACGCCAGTTCCGCGTCTTCCTCAACGTCAGGCTGCCTGATGAACTTGACAGCAACGGGCACCTCCTTGTAGATTCCATGGAACAGACGGCTGTGCGCCCCATAGGCGAACTTCTGCCCGACGAGGAGCTGCTTGCGATCCACCGTCCAGTTTTGGAGCACCTTCTCTGCGGCCGCCTTGGCCCTTTGGTTGTCCCAGTGCTCCTTCCTGTGGTGCTTCACCTTGGCCGGCGCCTTGAGTGGCGCGTCCACCGGCGGCGCGCGTGGCGGAGACGATGATTTCCGGCGCGGCGGCGGCGTGGAGAACCTCTTGCTGGCTGATTTGGCCTCCTTGAACACTTCGGGCACGGGACGGCTTGGGAGAGGGGACCTCGCCCTCAGCATCCGCGTCGTGCGCCCCTCTGGGAGGACCCTGAGCGACGAACTGCGCAACGGCGGCCGCGGCGCGTCCAAGACCGGCGCTTTCTTGGCCGGGAAAGGAGACGGGCTGGAGCACACCCTTTGCAGCCTCATGCTCTGCTCGTCAGGGTGGAAGGAGAACTCGAGAGGCCCAGGGCTGTCGCCCTTGCTCGGGTCCTGAACCTCGGGCTCGGAGCAGACGTCGACGAAGAGGTTGTTGCGGCCCCTCGTTCCGTTGGTAGAGTTGTTGGTCGGTGCTGACTGCGGCGGGTGACCATGATCGGCAGGCTTCTCGTGATGATGCACCGATATGGCGTTGGAGAAGGCATGGTTGATGTCCGTCTTGGGCTGGGCACTCAGCGACCTTGTCCTCGGAATGGAGGCCGGGTTGGTGGTGGCGGAGGCCTTGGTCCTGGGCTCGAAGTTCATGCCGTGGGGCTTGAACCCTGAGTCGGAGCCCTTGTTCTGCCTGAGCGCGGCGCCGCGGTTGAACTGCTCGACGAAGGCGCCGAACTGCTCCCTGCCGGAGTTGGAGCGGACGACGGAGTGGGAGAACCTCGTCCGCCGCACCCACGAGTAATCCTCGTCGTCCATGCCGACCGACCAGATGGACCGATGCAATGGATGGATGGACTTGATTTGATGCGACGGGAGAGGCGAGTCGCTGACTTGTTAGGCTTATTATAGGAACCTGGACGAGAAAAACCCGGATCCTAGAACGTCCCACAGCTCGTTGAAGAGACGCCACATTTGCTCCCCCTGCTCTTCTTATGGCATGCCTCGACTGCTCTGAATTCACGCGCAATCCGGCCGGATTCCGTGGACCGCCGCCCGCCGCCCCTGGATCAATTCAAAAGTAAAACACTCGCGAGATCAATACACACAGCTTTCTGAAGGTCACGATTGGTCAAAGCCAAGCCACCACGGTTTCCGAACGCAAGGAGGAGGAGGAGAAGGAGGAGGGATCAAATTGGAGCGAGGAACCGTGCAGGCGAGAAAAACAGAGGCGTGCGAGAACAATCACATCACATGCAGGAAATAGGGGGATGCAGGCAGGAAGCGATCGGGAAACCTCGGAATTCGGCGCCTATTCCACGCCAAATCCCCTGGCCAAACGCAACCGGTGCCCAAATCCAAAAGGAGTTTGCCCTCCTAATCTGAAACCAGGAAGAGTCACGGCCGCTTACCCGATGGGAAGGAACACCCGAATCTATCTAGGCCGAGCGACGCGCGCCTGGGAGGAGGCAGCCGTCCGGCCGGCCAAGAACGTGGAGGGAGCAGCGGCGACGTGGGACGGACGAAGGCTGTGCGTGGTCGTTAAGGCGGGCGGGGGGGAAGAATCGGGCGGGGCCGAGAAAAGGCGGCACCTCCTCCTGCAGCTGGACGTGGGTGGAGCGTTGGAATTTGCCGGGAGGGAGGGACGGATGGGAGGGGGGGAGAGAATGTTGCGACGGGGGCACGGGACGTTCCAATCGCTCACCGAATCCAGCAGCTGTGCCGGGGCCGGGGCACCCTCCCCGCCTTTGTTCCTCTTCCTTTCTCCTTTCTTTCTGCCGGGCGGCGCGTGAACCTGAAAGGCAGAAGAATCCTCTCCCCTCTCTGCCCTGCTCTGCGTTGTAAAATAAATAGGGCAGGGTGGTACGCGCTAGGCGGCTTTGGGAGCGGTGTGGGACTTGTTCCCCAAAATACAATTCTTTCTTTCTTTCTTTCTTTGTTTATGGGTCAATCATGAGAGACGACTTTGGGATTAGTCTAATCCAAATCCAAAAGCTGTTTGTTTCTGGTGAGATTTGACGCGCACGGTTTTTATATTCCGGAGATTCGTTCCTTCGCGGGACTCCCACGTCCACGTGGATCCCGTGTAAAGTCCTACTATTCGTCTACGACCCGGCCGGTACATGCTATGTTTCAATTCGAGTATCATGCTAAAAAGTCAGTTGTTTATTGCTGTTTTACGTGTCAACGATACATTTGGGCGCTCCTATTGCAAAAGTATATAGGAGAAAAATCCAACAAAAGAATCAACAGAGCAAGCAATAATAAAAAGACCCAAATGATAACTCCCACACGTGTGCCAGATTTGCAACTCGCCCACACGCGTCGATCTACGTTCATTCAGTTCTGCATGAATCTTGACAACGTCTGATGATTTTTGTGAGCCACGTAGGCATAGTCTGGTGTGTGGGCGTTTCATAGTTCGTCCGGACGCCCGTTTTACACACACAGAGCTTGCGGTTGCTACCCCGGCGTGCGGTAGAAATGCCATTGCGCCCGCACGCCCCACACAACTCCTCTTCCTTCCCTCCCCCGTCTCCTCTTCCCGGCACGACACTGCAGTTTTGCCCACCCCGCCTGAATCCTCTTCCCATTCCCCCACTCAACTCCCCCATTTGAAAGCAACGACATGTCCTAGACGGAGCAGAGGTGATTCCAAGGCGTAGCAGAGGAGAGGCGGTGGCGGAAGTGTCGCAGGGACTCGTGGCCGTCACTGGAGCTCAGGCAACCGGAGCGTCGTCGTCGGAACCTTTACCACGCAGAGGTAACAGTGCTTCGATTGGTCTCAATCTGCCTTCCTTCCCCCGTTTCTTCTGCTTCGAAACCATTGAGATTCGAGTGGATTACGGAGCGCTCGAGTGCTCCCCATCGTCGAGGAGTCGTCGGTGTGCCATTAGGCTAGCATTAGCAAGTTCCGTTGCCGTGGCGGTGGAAGTCACGCCGGCGAGACTGGCCCGTTCCACGCCGATTCATTCTCTGTTTTCAGAGATTACATGTCTTCAAGTCCGGATTGCAGTGATTTGTCGATTTTTCTTCATTTGATGGTCTCATAGGCAGTGGTTCGCTGTTTTTAGGGGTGGTGTTATGATTGAAATCCGGGCCTGAGATTATGGCAAGAACCCTAGATTTACATTGCCATGTGGAATGCGCATTTCGTTTGTAGGTTAATTGCAGTTGGTTGATTCATGAAACTCACTTAATTGCCATGTTGTTATGTGCAAATAGATCAACTTGAATCTACTGGCTTAGCTACAATTTGCCATATTGTTTAGTTAGTAAATGGCAATTGTCTCTTTAACCCAAACTGCCAGTTGCCATGTTTCTGCAGTGATACAGGGGCAATTGCGTATTGTGCTTTTAAGCAGATGGCAACTGCCTCTTTACCCCAAGATATTATTTGCCATGTCTTTTTTTAGTGTTTCTTTGGCAGCTGACTATTGTGCTTAGGAGCATATGGCAACTCCCACTTTACCCTAAGATATTATTTGCCATGCATTTCAAGTGTTACATGGCAATTTGCCTACTTATTTTAGTTTGCAGGTGGCAACTCCCTCTGTTACCTATATTATTTGTCTTGCTTTTGTAGTGTTACATGGCAATTGTCTATTGTATTTTAGTTAGCACGCGACAACTCCCTCTTTTACACCAAGATTTTTTTTGCCATGTATTCTGTAGTGTGAACCTTAATTGTGTTGTTTGCCATCACGCATTGTATGTCCATGGCATTTGATGTCTGTATGTCTAGTAAACATGGCAGTTTTCCTTTGTCGTCGACATTATCAATTGCCTTGCTACTCTATGCTTCCACATGCACTTTTCACTATGTTTTCTTTCATACTTATGTGTACTTGTTCTTACTATAGCATCATGGTTGCAACCACCAGCAAGATGATGACGATGACTTCATGGAGCCACCGCCACGGAATCGTGCGACTGGTCATAGGAAAGACGGTGATAAGGTTCTTTTTCACCCATGTTTCATTGTGTTATAGAGATTTCATTCATTCTAAGTGGTATTGAGGAAGTATTGTTCCCACGGTTGTTTCCTAGCCAGGCAGCCATGCCTAATAAGACGGTGCTTGCAACTTTGTTGGAGGAGATGAAAACCCATGGCGAGGTATTTAACATGAAGCTGCTAATGTACTTGATCTCATCTGTCTTTGCACCTACCACGTCGCTATGCCCAAGCAACAAATGCTTCCTTGTCCTGGTGAATGTTCTCCATCTATTCCTTTTTTTACTATATTCTCTTTGTGTTTGTCATGTACTAGCATGTACCTGCCAGTTGAAGTTTCTTTAACTACGCATGTGTTGATGTTTTTTAAACCCTTTTTTGCAGGCTAAACTGGATGATGTAAAAAACATGAGTTGGTGCAAATTCATCGTTGACTTCCTGCATGATGCCTTTACAAACAAGATGTACCAGAAGGGCTGCCGCCTACACCTGATGGTATTTTTGTTTGTTCGCAAATGCTTTTAACATGGTTCATTCGTTACTCATTGATAATACAGAGAACACAATAATCTAGGGCGTTCAAGCTTGAATTGTAGTTTATTGGCACGCCTTTTAGGAAGCAAAATAAGTGGCAGCTGTATTTGATCATGTATGGCAATTATAGTTGTTCAGCTATGGCAGCCCCAGTTGTGCACACATGGCAACTATTGTTGTTCCTCCATGGCAACTTTTGGTTGAGTCTGCATGGCAACTCCAGTTTACTTTGCATGGCAACTCTAGCTATCATACAATGACAACTCTAGTTCATTATGGATGGCAAGTATAGTTGTTGATGCATGAAATCTCTAGTTGATGCTAAATGGAAATTACGTTCAAATCGCACTTGATACATACTTTCTTTTGAATGTGCATTTTCGGTTTGTCATTTTTCATTGCCCATATGCGCGGATTTTAAAAGGTGATACATGGCAAACATATCACCATGTATATGGAAAATCTTTCTATTCAGTGCACGCATGTGAGAATGCAATGCCAATCACATGACATTCACAATAATATTTTTCTTTTTCTGTATTGTTTTCCGTTACACAATATTGAATTCTGACATGTTTTTTTATTAACTATTTCCCCATTTTTTTTATCAGCTGATGTACGTCGACTGTCTTGATTTATCTACCGTCAATCTCGATGCGATAGGAGGTCCGCCTCCTCCACATAAGTTTGATTTCTTTGACTGGACTTACGACGATGTTAAGGTTGTGCTTGCCGCAAACAGGATATCTGAAATGAAGGATGGCAAATTGCAGGTTAGTGCTATCTTCCTTCTTGCATGGCAATTTTGAAGTTCATTGTTAAAAAAGATTAGAAAACAAATTTATGTCATTTACATCTGTCAAGACATGTATGTGCCCCTTTTAAAACATGGCAATTCTAGCCCACCATGCATGGCAAATCTAGTCCACCATGCATGGCAACTTTAGTTTTCCAGCATGGAAACTATAGTTGGCCAGCCATGAGAACTGCAGTTGACCTAGGATGACAAGGATAGTTGAGCAGACATGGCAAATGCAGTATAACAACATGGCATATGTATATATTCACATATGGTAATTGAGTGAGACAGTGCCATGGGTTCACAAATACCTTGATTTGCCACTTGTGCCAATTGTAGTTTGGTGCCCTGCATTTGTATTACCGATAGCTCCCTATGGTGCAGTTTGCCATGGGACTCCTGGCGGTGCGGTTGTATTGTAAGAACCTACGAACTTATCACATAAAACATAAGATGGATTGCCATTTTTTCATTTCTACGAACAAGCCAAATCTAACTTTTTCTTTCACACATCATTACCCATGTGCGCGT